TGCTCTGCTATTCAAACTGACACTCTTCATCACCATGCGTATTATATTCAGAAAAAACAGGGCATGAAAAAATAATCCAAAAAATCGCAACACATTGTGTCTCAAATGGAACTCAACGACAAAAAATCAATTCTTCGCGTCCGGGACTATAACCGTTCGAAGAAAATGACCAGTCGTTCTCCGGCAATAAATCTCAATTATGTTCCTGCAATAAACGATCCTGCTGTCGCGCGATTCGATGCAGGATACGCACGACATCGATATAGAATGTCAGCCGCAATTATTTTCGATGTTTGTTATGATCGAGTTCGTTTGTTACGTAAATTCGACGGGTTGCAGGTCAACCGGGAGATCCTTCTTGTGATCCGCATTTCACTTCTTCATTCACAACACTTTCATTGATATTCATTGAAAATTAAAAATAATGAGCACGTTCGTGAAATAGTGTTAATTATTTTTCTTTTATGCTTGTGCATTGTAAAATTTTCTCTAGAAGGTCATTCTTGTGATCCGCATTCAACGTGTTTTTTCACTATACAATATAAAATGCCAATGTCATAATATATCACATTTTAACTCATCAAAATGTTATGAATGTTTTATTTCTTCAAAACATATGTATATACTAGTTGTTCACTTTAAAAAATACAGTAACTGAAAAACTATGCCAACTGCACTAAGCACTGCATAGCTTCGAGATTTGAATTATGTACCTTTAAAAAAATTCGCAAAACTAAGACAACCGTTAACGTCATCTGCCCTCACGCGTCTGCCCGCGTTCAGGTCGCGTTCTCGCCGATGGCGCTTCATTGCTTAGACCGCTCCTCTACCCCAGCGAAATGTCTCTCGTCGTCATACAGTAGACGCGACGCGCAATGGTTTACTGCATTAGTTCAAGTCAATCTCATCGTGATAACTTTTGAACGATTCGTCCAAATTGCTTGGTGTCAAAGACGAAGTTTATCTATAATAGATACTTAAAACAATTGTATCAATTTTCATATGAATTTGACAGGTAGGTAATCTAAAATGTGCAATATAAAATGTGCGATTCAGTTGTATTTACGGTACATTATCTGCATGTTACTCTCAGGGGGCAAGAATTTTTTCGACTTACTTAATACTTATCGTTAAATTATGACTGAAATTACATAAAACGTTTGTAAATTGTAGCCTATATGTTACTCTGATATATAAGCTGTATTTATGTAAAGTTTCATCTGAATCCGTTCAGTCGTTTAGGCGTGAAAGAGCCACAAACACATATATACATCCATCCTTACAAACTTTTACATTTATATTAGTATTTGAGGCTGTATTATATTTTGTTTCAGTGACTGTCTTTTGTATTGTGTTTTTGTGAAGTTGTTGATGAGACTAAAATCTTCTGTCAATGAAGTATTGCCATTTGATTGCCCATCAGGCAATTTCAGCAATACGACCGACTCCATGAATATCCACCACAATCAATAACAACATCCAATTTGTTTTTCAAGGGTGGTCCCTGTGAAGAGTGTATTCATTTTCTTCCTCCACGTACATAGTCAGCCAGTTAAATGGACCTCCGGCGAATGCGGTTAGTGCATTGGACCGATCCAATCGAATAATTAGAATTTTTACCGAGTTGATAACAGATGTGATACTAATTATATTGGCGAATAGGCAGACATGGGGTTATTACTTCCAGAGAGGCATTAGTAAGTGATTCCTGTGAAGCACGACATATGCGATAGTCTCGCAGCAGCAATTTGTGTAATTGATTCATTGTTTCGATGATTAGCGGCGTTCTGGGGAAGTACGAGTTGTCGCTCATTTCACAAAGTTGGTAGTTCTTATACAAGGAGCAATAGAAAAGTAGATTTTGGAATGACCATGCCTTTCAAGCAACCGTCTCAAGATAAGTCCTCTTATTCAAATACCGTTTCATCCTCCATCCTCGTTGAAAACTCATTGTAATGTTCCACAATAGAAGAAGTAGGTTCTGGAAGAGTAGTCTCAAATTCGATAGTACAGAGTGGGCCAAATCAGACACCTTTAACGAGAAACTTTCAACGTGAAAAAAATTACTCAATTCGTTGGAGATTTGAAGAAGTTGCTGTCTTTCATAAACTCTTCAGGCAAAGGGACTCATACACGCAAATCAGCTGCAGGTGTTGCTGTAGCTGTAATTACTAGTTTAGAACCAAGCAAATTTTTTTTAAAACTATTTCCTTCTACCTTTTGCAGTAAAAACTTATGAGGTATAAAATGTACAGTCTCCATCAGCCATATTCAGAATGGCATATACTTTTGTTCGTTCAATCGATCATATTCTTTTGGAAAATTATTTCTCTGTCTTTATAAGGAAACAATTCATTGCGGTTTCCTAGTCTCACATTTAGGCAGGTGTACTGATACTTGCACAATGTGGACTTTACAATTTTCTGAACTCTAAGAAGTTTATACTGCATAAAAGTTGGCTGTGTATCTTGGGCAACTACACTACTTGTTACTCAACACTTCACGGACTGTTCATGTCCAAATGTTTCAGTGTTGTACAGTTGTTTGTCATGTCCTGTAAATTAATGATATTTCTATTTCTTTACAGGTTTTTCTGAAGTTCGATTTTTCGCTAGCTGAAAAAATGGAGAATTGGAGGCGTAAGTGTTTAAATATGATATCGTACATTATAGATATAGTTGGAATTGATGGTGTTTTTCTCTGTGAAACAGTAGGTCTCCTATTGAAGACTCCATATATGTGTTTTATGTTTCTGAATTTCGCCAAAAGTTTTGGAACAGTGTGGTTGGAGATGTATTGAGTCGGAGCACTGCTTTTACAGTTAGTACTAACCTTCAGAAGAAAAGCAATCGAAAACAATGTCGTGTTTTAATTTTACACTGCTTCTTGATGGGAAATAATACCGTTCAAATGAAGCAAGGGCTTGAAAAGCAAATGTTTTAATTCATAAATATTGCATTCGCAGAAAATATGATTTTCGTATACAAACTTGTTTACCGCAGTCTCAAAAGTCATAGATTATACAACAGACTTTTTGAAAATTCAAAAATATAGACAAAAATCACGTGTTGAGAAAAACTTGGAAGGTCTATTTGTCTATTGTATTATGTTTTCTATACTGTATTGTACTGTTCATATTTTATCATTTCTGCCAAACGGGTCCAAAAGCTTTGTAAGCTTAAAAACTGAAAGAATAATCATTTGGTTGATTAAGTTTGGCGACTTGTATTATTGATTAACACTCATTGGAGGTTGAAAGTGAAAAAACCTTCATTTTCTCATCGTGAAACCCGTCCCATTAATTTTCAACAATACCTTCTATTTTTTTTATTCTCACACCGAAACTTTTTGTTTCTCATTATATTATTGTTGTACGTTTTCAGTTTCAATCTAGTAGTAATTTTTCAACAGATGGATTTGGAGATGAGAATGTCAGTATTTATATGCAACAGTGAGCGTTTTTGCTGTCGCGTTGAAGAAAAATACCAGGTCGAAATGCGTAATAAAAAAAACTAGCGACTTGACAATCTAATTCACCTGCAACCTGATAGAGATGCACAATTATCATTCCCCAGTCCATGTTGATGAAACAATCGATCTCAGAAACCTCCAAGTTGGTACAGAAAAATGATCTCGCGGCATTGTTCGCCGTAAACGGTCTTGTCTCATCAAAGGAAATGTCGTGTCGAATGCCACCCAGTAGGGCATCCGTAATAAGGCCAAATTATCTCCTCTAATATCGACCATTTCAACTAATAATGTGGACTAAATGGAACAAATTATCCGGCGACTTTACCAATTTGGCTTCTCTGTTATTTCAACTAGTTTGCGTTCCGATCGATTGATCGCTAAAAGACTGGTCGATGAGATGAGTGGAGTGACACATCAACTGGACTTGATTTGAGAGAGATGCTGAGGAATTTCTCAGTTTATCTTAGCTTAACATTGACTCCGGGGACTACATGGCAGTTGAGGAACTACAAGAGACTCGAAACATGTAATGTTATACTGGAATGTCAGTTGACAATTGTAGTGACTCCAATTGAATACCTCAATATCGTTCAAAATCATATTAGTTATCAATTACAGCCGAACATAGATTAAGTTGCATTTTCCAACCAAAATTACTCATGAAGAATGTGGCTACAAAAAGTTGGTGCACCGTCACATTTCAAAACTGAGGTACATGAATACCTTAACGATTATTTCATTCAAAAATGGATATTCAGGGGTGGGCCTGGGGCGTGGCCACCTAAATCACCTGACCTGAACAAAATGGGTATTTTATGGGAGTTTATCAAATGGATTGTCTACCAAACTCCTTCGACTCGATTAAGGTATGCTTCTCACCACTGAAGATAACTGGATTGATTGAATACCAATTTCATTGATCCTGGTGAAGTTTTTCATCGCCTAGTGAAAAAAGATCTTAGAATTGTGCACGATTGGCTCATTAACCTCAATTCATCTGGTTCAAACTCAAGTCAATATACCACAAAAGCGAGCTTGTATAAACTGTCGCCACAGAATCAATCGATGTACTTAGCACAAAAAAGGCAGATTATTTTGACATCCATGGAGATTTTCATAAAGAAGAGAAAGTTTGATGCACTATAATAATTGTGAAACATATCTTCTGTCAGTCCGGGTGAAATTTCAGTAACTATGGTATAAGGTCACCCACACTATAACCCTGAGGTAACCAAGATACATCGATTTTCTTCGGAGATATTCAAATTATCTGGATTCATCACTCCCGTGGATTGTGGGATGGTGAAACATCACACTGCAATGCAATTGTGCCATTGCAGATTGCCGAGTTACGTAATATTTCCATTCGTAAATTGATCTAACGACCAGTGAGCTGAATTATAATTATTATTTTGATGTAAAACAGACTGTTGGGCAGATGAATTTACCCACGTGAATCCCGATTAAGGTGCTTAGAGTAATTAACAATCGAGTTCAAGCCGGACTACGAAACTGCACAAAATGTCATGTCCTGGGTTGATTTTTTATTGAAATATTTAGGTTGAGTCGCCAATTAAATATATCAACATATTCAGAATAAAACGGCAGGGAACACAATACATTTCGATATTATAGAATTGCAACATTAGGATAATTCAGTAACACAAGGAATGATGAATTGTAAGAAAAATTGCTCAGACAAAAAAAAACAATTGACAAGTGGATTAGAGAAAAGTGATAGTTATGAGCAATAAAATTATCGACAAGTTTCTTCAATGTTCGATTCAGTACCTAGAAAAGTGAAGTTAAAAGCTAAATATACTTCCAATAACCGTGTTCGATGATCGCTCCAATGACTAGATTCAATTCTCCAATGACTAAAAAGTTGATTCTGAAGTTGATGAAACGGGTATTTCATGGCGAAGTTTCAGTAACACGAAGATTCTGGATTTGTGGAAGATGATACATCTGAAACAATGAAAATGAATTATACGGTCTCATCTTTCATTTATCATTGATTATATTTTTATTAATTTTAGTAGAGGTTTTTGTCGAGTTGAAATTCCTATAAATTAATGTACAGGAATCTTTCTCAACAACTGAGGTGGGTTCGCTCAAATAAATTGAAACATACCAGGAAGCAACACGATCTGCAGATGTACCTGTGGTTGAAGAAAAAACTTAATAAACGGTGTAAAAGACTTGAAAAATTATAAACTCATCAATCAAGAAACTTGAAAATACGTCCTATGATAACCAACCATGCATGAAATTCGGAATGCAACTTATAATTAGAATGTCATATATCATATGTTGTATGAATTGTCTTTTTCAACCTGCCAACTTTGGAAAGTGTTCCTGACTATATTCAAATTCATTGTTCTTTCATTTCATTTTGGATATATATTTCGCATATGCATATGTTATGGAATAGTTCGAACTTATCAATGGTATAAATACCTTGTTTCTCTCCTGTAAATGTGAAGTGATGTTTACCCTTAAAGTTAGGTGGGAACATTCGAAAGTGAATTTGTAAAACGGAAATCTGCTACAGAAATTTTTTTTGATCTCCTCATTTTTTGGATCGGCTTTTTACGGTAGGTCGTATCAATTTAGTTTCAGTAATATATTCGTTTTCTGATTGTTTTTTAATTATTCTTCTATAAATTGTGGAGCATCGAAAAGCGTGGCTTCCCCCTTGAAGACTTGGCAAATCATCTTGTTGACAAAAAACTGAAAATCATCCAATTTGCCTGGATACGAACTAATAATTTTTACATATTCAAAGTTTGAAATAACATATCTCTAACACTAGTTCACCAACAACCTTCATCCATATGAATCTAAATTTAGCTACATTTCTCTCTTATATATTTACAAATTTTGTATCTCCTTACTTATGTCTAAATATCCTAATTTTTTCACAGCATCATTTAATGCTCTTAACTGAAGAAGCTTTTGCCGACTCTCTTTTTCAGCATTTTTAATCAATCTGGAGATTTTACTCTGTCCCTTTTGATTTTCCACAACAGACATTTTTTGTGCCGCAAAACGCTGCTGAATACAGGGAATATGAAAACCCTCGTACTAACACATTCGCAAATATTGCTATACCCAGATAATAAAATCCTTTTATTGCAGTTATTACCCGAGCCGTATAACAATGGCATATTCCACGAGAACGACCCGTCTTCTTCTTCTTCTTCTGTATTTGTATATGGGCACGGTTGAATAAAGCAAAAACCTGCGTATGTGTGGTCTTTATACAAACAAATGGCATTGGATTTGAACAGTAGTAATCTCGTAGAATTATGTGGTTTTCTCTGGAGAGGACTTCCTATTGACGTCTTCACTCACGCTGCCCACCATCTCGAACTCGGGCGGAAATGGTAAATTGGTCTGGGCCTGTGCGATTGGAGCAGATGACAGGTGCGTGACGTGTTGACATTTCGTGACGGGAAACTCATTTGTATGGTAATTGCTCCATCCGAAGAGGTTTTTGTGAACAAATATGGGATACAGTTGATGGGATAACTGATCTACTAAATATTCGAAGGTGGATGATTTTGGTTTCAGTATTTTTTTGGGGTAATGGTTGTGTTCAGTTTGATTTATTCTCACATAAACAATGTATTTCACTATTATTTCACTGGGTTCAATGAAGGACAGCCTTTTTAATCCTAGATGATGTTACAAAATTCGCTGCCACACGATTTATGCCCAAAATTTCCGGAAAAATTGCATAGCATGAGCCAACCGATGTCTACATCCTCAGCTACTTTTCAAATTTTTTATCGGTTGGTTCAACTATGTTGAAATTCATATTTCAAAGGTCCAGGACCTTTTTATGGAATGAATCAATCATGGAAGGCATCATTTTCAATGCCAACTCTCCATTCCAAGTTGAGTTCCTGTCTAGTTTACATTACCAACCAAGACGAGTTGAATAAGATTGAGGATATAATTACAGCAACAATGCTGTTGGTCCAATAGATTTCTAATTACTTTTCACTGATACTTGCCTCAGAGAATTATTGATGTGATTACTGTTGGTTTGGAACCAACTAAGGTATATCTTTTCTTAGGAGTACTATACAGCCAGGAATTTTTTCAAGAAGAAAGTAATGACTATTTCAATTTCCCTCAACTATGTCCTTTCTTGATATTGAATACCGTAGAAGAAAACACTGTGAATTCACATTATTTTTTCTTGAAAAAAACACTGGAGTTGAAATTCCACCGGCCAGAATTTTCCTTTGAGTAAGGTAGAAGATAAAGTGGAAGTAAAACTTGAACCTATGACCCAGTAAGAAGAAAGTAACGACTTTCAATTACCCTCGACTGTCCTTTCTTAATATTGAATACCGTAGAAGAAAATACTGTGAATTCACATTATTTTTTCTTGAAAAAAACACTGGAGTTGAAATTCCACCGGGCAGAATTTTCCTTTGAGTAAGGTGGAAGATAAAGTGGAAGTAAAACTTGAACCTATGACCCAGTTATTATTATTCTTTGTTTGCATCCACTGTATGCATCATCCTCGGTACTCATTTTACCTCATTTAAACTTAGCAAATCATTTTCCAACTGTTGATTTTCGAGGTGCAAAGTTTATTAAGCCAAATCTTGGCTTCAACAGTTTTTTTTTACCAAAAAGCAATGCTTTATCAAACAAGAAGTTCCTTTTCATCCATTCAACAAAAGTTGCTTTACTCAAAATGTTGTATCCCACAAACTAATAGTCCAACAGCTGTGAAATGTGTAAACGTGCCTTTTGAAGGTTAGGGTTGACTAAAAATCTTAGTTTCAATTCTAGTAGTGTCAACTGTACCAGTAACCCTTTCAATACAGAGTTCTGGGTATAGTGTGCCGATAGTGAAAAGAAAATCTCGATTTTTTATCTGGTTTTCCATTTCTTTTCAAACGTTATTTGTTTCGTTTGGAGCTGATAACTTCACGACGATTATCATCATACTTTGACGACCGAGAAGGACTGGATCTACTCGACTCGACTAGATTTTCTTCACTATTTCTGAAGTTGTCACCTCATTACGTCGACCACTGTGATGTTTGTCTTGGCAGCTCTTGCTGCCTCGTCAAAACTACTACTACTGTCGTGAACGAATGTGCAGACTCACCCATAGTAGAATCCAGTTCAGTTTTTATATTGGTTGGGCTGAAGCCTTTCAAATAAAAGTATTGTATAACGATGACAAATTTTCTCCATTTCCACAAATTCACCGAAAGTGTTGGCTATTGATGGCTGCCAAACTAATACGATACCGTGATACCAATACCATGATATTTTTCAAACAACTACCGCCATCTCTAGGTCAGGCCTGGTACTTTTGCCACCACTTTTATCTCTTCACTTTGTATGAACTTCACTGAACATTATTTAATATAATTGTCTCACTATCAAGTAAGTTACGTCTGCAATTTCTATAGACTCATTTCACAAAAGACAAAATAAGTAGACACACACACACTCCGTCCGTATCTGAGTATGTGAATCCTCGACTGACCCCAGTGACCTCTGCGGCCGTACGATTCCGCCCAATCTCGGTATATCCTCTCATTACTATAATGCTCCACGAACACTTGTGAATTGGGTCAGAACCTTCAATTTCTCAATAGATTCAACAATGCCAGTGTTTGGTTCGAGTAAAGATTTCTAAATTATATGGATCTGGTCGTTAGTTTGCGCAATTTTTATTAATTGCTGTATCGATGGTCGGGTCAAATGTCACGAGCGCTAGACCCGGCTACAGGTGGAAAAGTGTACCCGATTTCTTTTGGCTGCGGGTCGTCTTTGGAGTTCAGATTTCAAGTGGATAATGGGACGATCACCTTGCACGGTGATTGATTATCGATTATGTAGTTTTTTACCAATGGGCACACTCTTTGGAATAATAACTGGTTTTAATAACTCCGGACTAATGAAACTGTAAAGGTTAGGACATGTTGATGACTTAATATTCGTAGGTGAAAGTACGAGGACTGCGCTAATTACTATCTTACATTTTTTTCTCATGAAAAAAATTCATTTTGGTCATGGATTTTAGTGCATATGTAACATATATAATTACGAGGTCCGGCTATCGAACAACGAGACTGGTTACGCCACACAATTTTTCATGCGTTTTTTCTGTTGATCGAAGCAGTGCTGGAAGTCTTCTTTGGTGAGGGCCTTTGGCAACTCTGCCGTTTTTTACTTTACCGCTGCCATCAACTAAAATCGGGGTTATGGGCAAGTGCATTGTTATTGCCCAAAAAAAAAAAAAATTGAGAATTTTAGCAGACGTTAATCCCGGATACTTTCATTTTTGAAGTGTGTGTATTCATACACACCAATAGTTCGAATAATGATCCCATTTCCTCTTACCATAATGTGAATACAAAAAAGTTCAATGATTTTCATATAAATCCCGTCAAATATAATATAATCGCCAACTTACTTGGGGCTGAAATTTCATTAAAAACTGACCGAATATATTATATATTGACGAAGAATTTCAAGAACGAAGTTTTAATGATGAAGGAGAACGGGAATGTTTCCTAATTATTCATCAAAAACTCAAACACCTGTTCATGCAGCTGCAGTTTTCAAGATCTTCAGATGATGTGGTGCTGCAGGTTTTTCCGGGTTTTCCTGCAGCTGAAAAAGCAAATGCGTCACTGGAATCAATGAAGTCGCCCCGGACCGCCAATTAATTTTTTTTGTTGTTTTTATTCAATTTTTATCGTTGTTTTATGAATATATGATAGTTTATATTCCTATAATTTTATTTATGTATGTACAAAATGATATTTGACCTATACTATAACTTTGTAAGTTCTACGTATTAATAAAGTGATTTGATTTGACTTGAGAGAGACTACTTTGAAGGGAACAAAATGGAAATTGATGACTGAATGAATATGTTTTGAGAAAAATGGAAATTCACGTCATTTTTTGAACAGACTTTGTATTTGCTCATCATTTGTGCAGAGTATATGTTGATATATTTGATTATTCACTTCTTTTCTTCGTTAGTTTGTCACGTAAAGATATTGGAAAGCTAGTAGGAAGCTTCAAAAAATTTCCGGGTACAAATCGCTTATGAAAAATAACCCTTTTTGACTGAATGCAAGCCCCTAGACTATAAGATTCTCACGCTTTCCGTACCAAACGAAGAACAAGATCCCCTGAACGTTAGGCAACTCTCCATACCATCAGTTACTGATGGTTGCAAAGCCACGGCACTCTCAGACGTGATTATTTATCATAAAACTTTTATTGCACGGCCGATTCGTGCTCATTGCTTAATTTAATAAATGTTCTTCGGCAATAAATCCTCCGCTGGTCAATCGATTTTTCTCGGAAAGTCAAGTGTTAACGGCGAACGCATCGGTTGCAGCTAAAAAGGAAACTTCAATTTCGAATCAGTGTATAAAACAATGAATCATGAAGGCAGCGAAGCGTGGAAACGGGGAAAAAAGGAGCAGAAGATTAATGTTTCAATTTTGATTGGATTCCGATGTCTCGGAAAGGCGATTGTATTTGTTGAAAGGAAATCGGTCTTGGACGTAGTTAACAGTGTTACCAAAACGGAAACCTCAAAAAATCTTTTAGAAATAAAGAGATATCCCTACATTTCACCCACCTTGATTTGAAATCCACCAGAACCTCTCATGGTAATTATTTTCATAGAAATTTTTTTACACCATTTCCA